TTTTTCTTCATATAACCCAGCTTCTCGGATTATTTGCTCAGAATACAGGTTGAATATGTATGGTGAAAGAATACAGCCCTATTACACACCTTTCTTAATTTTAAACCATTGCACCTAGTAGGCGCTCAAATAATAGTAAAATGAATCCAATGTATTCAGTTTTGAGAAAGGGTAGTTCTTTGGTCCATGACATATAGTTATATATTTGTTTAAAGGAGCTCTGGTAGCATAATGGTCATGAATCAGGCTGCTAACCTCAAGGTAAGCAGTTGTAACTACCAGTTGTTTCACCAGAGAAAGATAAGGCTTTCTGCTCCTGTAAAGATTTAAAGCCTCGGAAACCCTATGCAGGGTCGCTATGAGTCAGAACCGACTCCACGGCACATAACCACCATCCCCATATTTGTTTAAATAGTGTGTTAGATACACATTTTTAGTATTAGCATTGTTGTTGTTCTTGTTTATAAGTGCTATCAAGTCTGTTCCAACTCACACCAACCCTGTATACGGTTTCCGAGGACCGGCTGGTGAGTTTGAACTGCAGACCTTGCAGTCCAGTGCTTATCCTTAGTATTAGAGTGTAGTTATTCTCACAATGTCAGTTTCATTAGATGAGAAATTCCTCAGTGCCAGTCATTCATTGATTTCTTTTTAGAATTCCACAGATTCTGGTATGTCAACACAGGTTCCTAACCAACTGTCTGAATTCATTCCCATCATTAATGACATTGTTAGATGACACAGCACCAGAAGGATCCCAGTGCCTCCTGACAGTTCAGCTAGTGATTAACTTGGTGACTTAAGGCAAGTTATTTGAACCTAAATTTTTATTCATGTTTAAAAAATCATTCCAATATATATTTAATACATGTAAGATTGCTATCATTATTAATAATGAATAAAGGCATACATGAAAACTGAATTATCTAGACATTCAGATCAATTTTATTTGATTTAAATTTATTCCGTTTGGAAGAAAACTAGGCCACACAAGAACTATATGAAAGAAAATACAATAATATTAATCTTTTGGACAACAGTAATTCAAGCTAAGATGCCTAATATCAGCAGTGCCTCATTTTTCTACTAAAACTTGCAGGCCTAAGATAATCGTTTTTTAGGAGAGCTTACCTCTGGGTTTTTGTTTCCTTTTGCTTTAAATTGCATTCTTGGATCTATTTTAATCAAGAGTTCCTTTTTGTTTATACACTGCCTTGTGCTAGAAAGGACACAAGGTAGTTAAAATATTTAGTCTTTCATTACATACATTCTGATTTGTAAAAATTAGGTATACAATGGCAAACTCATGAATAGGCTAATAAAAATGTGGCTATGTAATTGTGGCTTTCTCTGTAAAATTATATCTCTGACTAGGAATATATGAAAGCTAAACTGCACTGTAACTCATTTTATTCTACCACCTGGTGGATTTTAGCAGTTATTCCAGGAGCAATAAAATTGTAAGCCTGATAATATATGCCTGTGAATATTTTTTCCTGATTTTTTCCCCCCAATGTCACTTAAAATTTGCACATAGTAATACTTAGCTTCCTATATACTTCCACGTTCCAGAACGTAAGCTCGTAGGGGCAACTTCACATCCATTACTGGTATATGTTTATTAAAAGAAAATAACAGAATTCACCAAATATTACTAAAGAGAGATTTCATAATCATAGAGAACACAGGCTGGATACACATTTCAAAATATGAAAGGCTTTCTTAAAGCCTGAAAAGAAATGAACTAAGGAACAGTATTGTAGTGAGCCAATATTGAAACCTGCATCGAGTCAATGATCAGTAATAACAATCTTGTCTACAATTAAAATCTGGCTTTTTCATGGAATTTTTGCATTCCTAAAATTCTGTTTTTAAAAATTGCATTAAAATATTGCTTATCTTGAGTAGTGGTATTTTTGTCACCCCCTTAAGTTTTGTGCCCAAGGAGAGTGTCTCACTCATCTTATTTTAGTCTTGGCTCTTTTTAGGAGCCAGTGTGAAAAAAGATAGTTAGAAAATAGAACAAATAGATGAAACATGGATAAGTAGAACCAAGGACCTGCTCTTTAAAATACTGAATACAATAGGCAGATCTTTGACAAATGTAGTTGAAGAACAAAGAGAGCAGGCAATTATGGGCCACATTAAAAGTCTATTTGAGAATGCAGAGGAAATTAGTGATTTCTTATGAAAACATGAGTTATCAAAATTGATTAAGGTTAAAGGAGAAAAAGGAACAAACAATAAACTACACAGGAAGTCTACTTTTTCAAAGCCACCCTGCCCTGAGCACCCAACTCATGTGTCAGTTCGCTGTACTGTGGTAGCTTGCATGTTGCTGTGATTCTACAAGATAGGCTGCCAGTGATTTAAATACCAGACTAAGAATAGAGTTGTTGTTGTTGTTGTTAGGTGCCACTGAGTCGGTACCGACTCATACCGACTTTATGCACAGCAGAACAAAACACTGCCTGATCCTGGGCCAACCTCACTATAGTTGCCACGCTTGAGTCCATCGATGCTGCCACTTGGCCAATCCATTTCTTTTTCTCTGACCTTCCACCTTACCAAATATGATATCCTTCTCCAGTGACTGGTCCCTCCTGACAATATGTCCGAAGTATAAGAGACGAAGTTTGGCCATCTTGGCCTCCAAGGAGCACTCTGGCTGCACTTCTTCCAAAATGGATCTATTGGTTCTTGTGGCAGCCTATGGCACTTTCAATATTCTCCTTCAATATCATAACTCAAAAGCATCAATTCTTCTATGGTCTTCCTTATTCACTGTCCAGCTTTCGCATGCATATGAGGTTATTAAAAATACCATGGCTTGGGTCAGGTGTACCTTAGTCCTCAAGCTGACATCTTTGCTCTGCAACACTTTAAAAATGTATTGTGCAGCAGATTTGCCTAATGCAATACGTCATTGGATTTCTTGACTGCTGCTTCCATAAGTGTTGATAATTGATCCAAGAAGAATGAAGTCCTTGACAACTTCATTCTTTTCTTCATTGATAGGAACGTGCCGATCCACTTCTGCAGTATTATCCCCTGAACATCTTATGAATAGAAGCAAAATGCTGTCAGATATAGTACTGGAAGATGAGCACCTCAGATTGGAAGGCACTCAAAATACGACTAAGAACGTCCTCCTCAGAGTAGAAGCAATTTTAATTAATTGGATGGAACAAAACATTTGGGACCTACATTTGATGATGAGGTACGACTTAAACGAAAAAGAAAAAGCTGCAAAAATATCCCCTGATGATTGAAACATGGAATGTAGTAAGTCTGAATCTGGGAAAAATGGAAAGTCAGTAAAAATGAAACAACCCATTACATTCTATATCTTAGGCATTAGTGAAATGAAACGGTATAGATCATTTTGAATTGGAAAATCACATGGGTTACTATGCTGGAAATGAAAAATTTGATCTATCTTGAAGTACATTGCTATCTGTGATAGGATCATAAATATACACATACAAGGAAGACCAGTTAATACAACTATTATTCAAATTTATAAACAAAGCACAAAAGCCAATAATGAAGAAATCACACAATTCTACCAATTTCTTCAGTCTGAAATTGAGAAACATGCAATCAAGATGTACTGAAAAATTACTGGTAAATGGAATGCAAAGGTGGGAAACAAAGACTAAGGATCAGTAGTTGAAAAGTATGGTGATGGAAACAATACTGGAGATCACATGATAGATTTTTTTTCAAGACCAATGGCTTCTTCATTGCAAATACCTTTTTTAAACAATATAAAAGATGACTACACACATGGACCCCACCAGACTGAATACACAGAAATCAAATGGACTACATGAGTGTTAAGTGACAATGGAAAAGTTCCATATCATCAGCCAAAACAAGACCAGGGACGGATTGTAGAAGAGATGCTCAATT